AAATCCCCATTTCCCGAGCCCAAACCCCGATTTCCCGAGCCCAAATCCCCATTTCCCGAGCCCAAACCCCGATTTCCAGACCCCAAATCCCCATTTCCAGAGCCCAAATCCCCATTCCCTGAGCCCAAACCCCCATTTCCAGAGCCCAAATCCCAATTTCCAGATCCTCAATCCCGATTTCCAGAGCTCAAATCCCGATTTCCAGAGCCCAAACCCCCATTTCCCGAGCCCAAACCCTGATTTCCAGAGCCCAAACCCCGACTGCCCGAGCCCAAATCCCCATTTCCCGAGCCCAAACCCCGATTTCCAGACCCCAAATCCCCATTTCCAGAGCCCAAATCCCAATTTCCAGATCCTCAATCCCGATTTCCAGAGCTCAAATCCCGATTTCCAGAGCCCAAACCCCCATTTCCCGAGCCCAAACCCCCATTTCCAGAGCCCAAATCCCCATTTCCCGAGCCTAAACCCTGATTTCCAGAGCCCAAACCCCGACTGCCCGAGCCCAAATCCCCATTTCCAGAGCCCAAATCCTCATTTCCCAAGCCCAAATCCCCCTTTCCAGAGCCCAAATCCCGATTTTCCGGACCCTCCAGCCACCGGGGAACAACAGCAGCAAAGGGGCTCCAGCTCCTGCCAGCCAGCTGCTGCCTGCTCACACCAAACACGGCACTTTTGGGGCACCCAAATGGGATGTTTAGGGCACCCAAAGAAGTTTTAGGGCGCCCTAACAGTTTACTTTTATGGCACCCAAAAAAGGGTATTTTAGGGCACCCAAAGAAGTTACTTTTAGGGTACCTAAATGAGCTATTTTTAGGGTACCCAAAGAAGTTTAAGGCACTCAGATTACTTTTAGGGCACCCAAAGGGGTTATTTTAGGGCACCCAAAGAAGTTACTTTTAGGGTACCTAAATGAGCTATTTTTAGGGTACCCAAAGAAGTTTAAGGCACTCAGATTACTTTTAGGGCACCCAAAGGGGTTATTTTAGGGCACCCAAAGAAGTTACTTATAGGGGATCCAAATGGGGTGTATTAGGGCACCAAATAAGTGACTTTTAGGGTACCTAAATGAGTTATTTTTAGGGTACCCAAAGAAGTTTTAGGGCACCCTAACAGTTTATTTTTAGGGCGCCCGAATGGGGTGTTTTAGGGCACCCAAAGAAGTCATTTTAGGATACCTAAATTAGTTATTTTTAGGGTACCCAAATAAATTTCAGGGCACTCAAACAGTTTACTTTTAGGGCACCCAAATAGGCTGTTTTAGGGCACCCAAAGAGGTTATTTTTAGGGTGCCCGAAGAGGTTATTTTAGGGCACACAAAGAAGTTACTTATGGAGCATCCAAATAGGGTGTTTTAGGGTACCCAAAGAAGTTACTTTTAGGGAACCTAAATGAGTTCCTTTTAAGGCACTGAAAAAAGTTTAAGGGCACCCAAATAGTTTACTTTTAGGGCACCCAAAGAGGTTATTTTAGGACACCCTAACAGTTTACTTTTAGGGCACACAAATGGGGTGTTTTAGGGCACCCAAATAAGTTACTTTTAGGGTACCTAAATTAGTTACTTTTAGGGCACACAAAGAAGCTTTAGGGCACCCAAACAGCTTACTTTTAGGGCACCCAAACGGGGTACTTTAGGGCACCCAAAGAAGTTATTTTTAGGGCACCCAAAGAGGTTATTTTAGGACACCCTAACAGTTTACTTTTAGGGCACACAAATGGGGTGTTTTAGGGCACCCAAAGGAGTTACTTTTAGGGTACCCAAAGACACTTTAGGCCACCCAAACAGTTTAGTTTTAGGGCACCCAAAGAAGTTATTTTTAGGGCACCTGAAGAGGTTATTTTAGGACACCCAAACCGTGTACTTTTAGGGCACCCAAACAGGGTAATTTAGGGCACCCTAACAGTTGACTTTTAGGGCACCCAATTAGATTACGTTTAGTGCACACTAAGAAGTGGCTTTTAGGGCACCCTAAGAGATTTATTATTTTTATATCTGCACCAGCACATTATTTTAGGGTACCCAAGCAGGTTGGTTTTAGGGCACCCAAACAGTTACTTTTAGGCTGTGGAAAGCTGTGGCACCCAAGCTGTCCCAAAGTTCCAGGCTGCTGATGTTGGGAAATTCCAGGAAACTGAAGCTCCCAGACCCAATCCTTGTCTGTCTGACTGGATGGGAGCCACTGCATGGAAAGGATTCAACCTTAAAGGATCAAACTCCCTGAATCTGCCTGAAGTCACCTTTTTCTCCTCCTGTTTTTATGGATATATTAAGATCAAACTATCAAGGCTTCTCCAACAGCCAATTCCTTTTGCTGCATATTAAAACCAGGATTTTCTGGAAGATAAACATTGGAGAAAAGGAGGCTCAGGGGGGACCTTGTGGCTCTGACAGGAGGAGGACCAGGGAACAGGGACAGGAGCAGAGAGAACGGCCTCAGGCTGGGCCAGGGCAGGCTCAGCTGGGACAGCAGCAGGAATTTTCCCATGGAAAGGGTGCTCAGGCCTTGGCAGGGGCTGCCCAGGGAGCTTTGCAGTGCCCATCCCTGCAGGTGTCCCCTGGGGGTGGCACTCAGAGCTCTGGGCTGGGGACAAGGTGGCCATGGGGCACAGCTGGGATTCCTCCTGGAGATTTTTTCCAACGTAAATGATCCTGGAATTCTGATCCTGGTACGAACCTGCAAAGGCAGAAGTCACCTTCTGGGACCAAAGAGAGTTTGCCATTATAAAAGGCTGGTCTGTGTTACAAGCTCCACAAGGAGATGACAGAGAGAACAAGTGGTGGGATCCCACCAGAGGAATGAAACAAGCACCTAAAGATGGTTCCAACAATGTTCTCTGCAAGGTTCCTTTCCAGAACTGACATTTACAGGACAAAACTCTATCAAGTTTTTGGATAAAAAAGGCCAGAGAGTGGCAGTATTTTCATGGCAATACCTTGAATAAGAAGGATTCCTGTAGAATGTCATACAGAAAGAATGGAACACAAGCCCCCAGATGTTTGCAGATCACATCTGGAGAGAAAAGCACAAAGCCTTCAACCACAGAGGTCAAGGGTTTTTTTAATAAGAAAAAAAAAAAAAAATTAATTAAGATGAACAAGAGCTGTAAAAAGGCAACCCAAAAGAAAGAACAAGGAATTTATTCTGCAGAGAGACCAGGTCCAGAGCAGATGATCTGAGCCACCAGCAGGAAGGTCTCAGCTGGATCTGGCTGTGCAGATAAAATCAGAAGTGCATTGCAAAGACAAAAAGTCTTTGAGAGTCCCCACAGAGGCTCACACAGAACTTCCACTCCAAGCAGGAGCCTGGTGAGGAGAACTCTTGGTGGAACTTTGTGATGGGAGAAGCACAAGAACTCGAGGGAGGAAAGAGGCAGGGAAGGGAAATAGTCAGGAGACTTCAGAAAGTTGGCCACCATCAAAGCCAAGAACATTGATTCTATAGAGTTGTGGTGGTGGTGCAAAGACAGTTTGATTGCCATGGCCAAGGTGGCCAGCTGATTATTTCCTCACATGGATTATGTCCATACAACCTAAAATTCCTTGAGTTTGTTTCCACAGCGCCTTGAAAGGATTCAGGTGCAACTTTTCTTGACTGACCAGCCTCATGCAGAATTTTTGGGAGACCTTTAACCCAAAAAAGCTCACATAAAATGCCTTTGTAGATCCTCAAGCTACATATTATTATATAGGAGATTTCCTCTTCCTCCTGGTTGGCCCCTCAGGAAAGGAAACCCATCCCTGGCCAGCTCCATTCACTTTGCTCTAGTCACTGGAGATCTCCAAATCCTGGCACCCAACATCCTGGCCACAAGTGTCTTCCCACAGCACGAGAGCATCTCCTGATGGTTCTGGAGACTTTTCTGCCTAAAACATCTTGAGCAGCAAACACACTTCACCTCCATCCTCTTCAGTGAAACATTCCTCATCAGTCTGCACCAAATTTTCAATTTCTGACTTACAGGCTTTGTTGGAACCCATCTGCCCTTATGTTTCCACAACTGGGCCATGGAATTTTTAAAAACCAACAGAATTCCCACTTATCCAGAACCACAGCAGCTCTTGTGGCTCCTGCTGACTCCTCCTGTGACTCCTTTCAGCAGTCCTACCTACTCAAATAAAATCTATTTTGTGCAAACTTCTGTATTCCAAATACACAAAACTGTCCATTAGGATAAGTAATAAAGCAATTAGCTGCTAACAAACAGCCCAAAAAATTTAAAAACAGCTATTATTTTAAAAAGAGCTTTTCACAGTTCTCCACTTGGTCAATCTTGCTCTCCCCTTATTTAAAAAAAAACGTTACAAGTAGAATAATCATAATAAGTATGTTCCAGGATTTTAGAAACAACTTTAAAAACTTTTTTTGAAGTTATAGTATACATATACATATATATACACATATATAGATACACACACACACACACACACACACACATATATATACACATATATATTAAAATATATATACACACATTTTAAAAATACGCACACACACATATATATATATGTATATATATATAAAAAAATTTGTATTTTTTAAAATATACTGTTGTATCTTAACTCCATCCTTACAGAGTTGGGAGTTCATCAGTTTTAAAAAAAAAACAAAACATAGAAGAATAAATGCCCCAATCCTGTAATTTATGGTTGTGCAATACAGGGACAGAGAGGGACGTTTCACACGGGTTTAGAGTGACAGAACATGGGGGAAATGACCTTAAACTGAAGGAGGGCAGGGGCTAGATGGGATCTTGGGAATGAGGAATTGTTCCCTGGCAGGGTGGGCAGGGGCTGGGATGGAATTCCCAGCACAGCTGTGGCTGCCTCTGGATCCCTGGCAGTGCCCAAGGCCAGGTTGGACACTGGCGCTTGGAGCAGCCTGGCACAGCGGAAGGTGTCCCTGCCATGGCAAACTCCATCTCTAAAGGTCCCTTCCAACCCAACAGACTCCACAACTCCACACTCAAGAGCTGCCAGCTGCAGCAGGAGCCCTCTCCCATACCTGGTTTGTCAGGGGCAGTGGCTGCTCGAGCTGCTCAGCGTAGGATAAGGCCGAGACCTGCTGGTCGCTGATGTTCTGCTGCCGCCGGTCACTGTACTGCTGATGCGAATGGGACATCTGTCCAGCCATCTGAAGGCCAGCAGCATGGAATGAAAACGATGGTGCAAGCCGAACAGATGAAGGTTTGCATGCTGAAGTCTCTCCTCCTGCAAGGACAAGGCGAGGGTTAAGCAGGGGATGGGTTGAGAATCTTGCCCTGTGGATCCCGGAGCTCATCGGCACCCAGGGGCTGTCACACACGGGGGATTCCACAGGGAGTGATCCCAGAATCATCCTCAGGGAAAGGTTATCTGCAGGGCTGGGCAGGAAGGGTGGACAGGGCCTTCTCATAAGGACAAGGGGACATGGCCTTAAGCTGAGAGAGGGCAGGGTTGGATGGGATTTTGGGTGGGAATTGTTCCCTGTGAGGGTGGGCAGGCCCTGGCATAGGGTGCCCAGAGCAGCTGGGGCTGCCCCTGGATCTCTGGAAGTGTCAGAGCTGGAGCAACCAGGTAAGGTGGAAAGTGTCCCTGACCATCAGGACTCCATCTTTAAAGGTCCCTTCCAGCCCAAACCAAGCTGGGACTCTAATCCTGAGCATCCCTTTTCTCAAATCTCCATCTGGGTGTCATAACTCGGTCAGAATTTGACAGGGGTTATTCCAAACACACAAATTCCATGTATGGATTCCACAAAGGCCATAAAACCACAAAAGTTCTGCCTTTCAGGGTTGCTTCCAGCAGCTTTCTGGACTGACTGTACCAAAGGAAAAACCAGGGTCCAGCCTCAGCAGCTCATCTTTGTTTGGGGATAAGGTTTAGGGGTGATGATGGTGGGACTGGGATGATCCCAAAGGGCTCTTCCAACCCTGGTGATTCCCTGAATCCCTGATTCCCTGTCCTCTGTGTTTATGCCTCCCTACAACGCACAGCAAACAAAGAGCAGCTGCAATCTGAAAGCAAAATTATCACTAAAGATTAAATTTAGAAGGAAGGTGTTAAACAGCCAAGCACCTGACCAGCAAAGGGAAATCCCCACTTCCTTTACAGTCCAAACCTTGCAAGAAAACACAAGCACGAGAAAACAGTAGATGAGTACAGCCAAGATTTGGCTTTCTTAAAAATAACTCTATCAAAAGAAAACTAAAATATTAAAATTGATACTGCACATTGACTCAACACCTATCAGGGCAACAGAACTGCATGGATGAAATCAAACAACATTTCACATTGATTATATCAAAATATTAACCATTTTAAGTTAGCATTGCACAGGAAATTACTTTTAACTCTTCTACAAAATGTCCAATAAAAACTGAGAATCAGAGTTAATCTTCCATCTCTACAACTTGGTGGATTTAGTGAACATTTCCTTTTCAAGATTCACTGAACACTCCTGTAAGAATGGCTGAACATATGTAAGACATCATCCAGTATCTCTACTTTTTGCTCTTTTAATTTCTGAGGTTCTGCTTAACCTGAAAAAAAATCATAATCTCACTTAGCAACATCATGGTGACTGAAGTAAAAGTCAAAACAATATTTAAATCAGAGAGTCAAAAATACCACTAATTCTGAAGTGTAGAGCCAGTTACTTTCAAAGGTTTAAATCTTGTATTTTCTTACCTCAGGCTATAGGTCTCCAATAGAGAGATACCTGGCCAATTACATAACTTTATAAACAAAAACTTCATTTAAAAAAATTCTGCCCTTCCATGTGCTCCTAAAAAAGCAGAAAGCTCAAATATATAAACCCAAAAATACTGGCACCATGGGGTTCTCATTTACAGTTTGACTTCATAGGGTCTTCTGACACTCCAAAAATCACAACAAGTCTGAGGATAAACTGAATAATGCACTACAGACATTTAAAATAAAGTAAAAAAGAAATGTAGAAGAGTGTTAGAAGTGTAATTATCCCACAAAACAACAGTTGTAATGTAATACAAATGTTATATGTGATGTTTTGGTTCAGCTGGAAACTTTTCATGCTTGTAGACCTTCTCCTCCCAAATCCACCTGCACCCATATCCGTAATTTTAATTTTTTAGTTTAGAATTTTTTTGAGATTTGTTGTTTGTGAGTAACAAAGAGGTCCCTGTTGGCTTGGAGGACAGTCCCACACCAAATGTGACACCACAAAACCAAACTGTGTCCAACAAGAACCTTCTTAACCCAGAAACACAAATGGTTCCACAGCAAATCCCAGGAAAAAGGGACAAGATTAGAGCCTGACCAGTGTGATGAGGTGAAGGATGACAAGGAGATGGATGGGAATTGGCCAACTCATCCCCATGTTCCCATCCCAAATGGAAAAGGATTTGAGTCACCCCTGAAATGGGACCAACCTCACGAGCCACCTCAGCACCGCCCCGGGGCAGAGGTTTGGGAGTGAAAGCACAAGGATCAGCAGCCAAGGAATTCCACCCCCCTGAGGCTCCCAGCCCTGGCCACCAACACAAACAAGGGCCCTGATGGAATCCCTGCCCTTGCCACATCCCAGGCTCCACTCCTGAGCCCTGCAATCCTATCCCAGCACAGCTAATCCCAAGGGAACACTCCTAGAAACACCGGTGACACAGCAGGAGGAAAGGAGGGGAAAGAAGGACTGGTTAGAATAGAAATCTTGACCTCCTTTAGTTTTAGGTCGAGGAGTTGCTCCAGAAATAAGGACATTTGTGCACAGCCATTAATTGAGCCTCTGGTGGCTCTGAGATTGTTTTTTGGCTCATCTGGAGAGCTCCAGACACCCAAAAAAATCAGGGATCTGCTGACCATCAGGGCAGGACTAAAATCCATGTGGGCACTTGTTCCCACAATACATCCAGAACTTCCACAGGACAGAAAGATCTGTGAACAAGGTGCAGTCAACCATAAATTTTCCTTTTTAACCACTAGGAGTTCAAGTGATCACACCTTGTAAAGCACCTTGGGAATAAAACGAAGTAAAAAAACCCCAAAACATATGCCAAGATCTCTAATCATGAAGTACATTAAGGGAAAAGATTATGGATTTGGAGTGGGTAGAATTGTCTTACAAATAGGCCTTACCTAATGTTAGTTCAGAGGAGGCATAAAAATACCCACCTTGATGTGTATTTGCACTCAAAAGAGGCTCACAGAACTCTCTGAAAATAGACACACTTCAAAAATGGATTCCCTCATAAAGGAGAAGGTTTATTTCTTAAAGCATCATCTCAACACAGTGGAAGAAGTTCAAGAATATATTTATTTATTTGGTGAGGATGGAAAAACTTTTGTCATTTAAAATAACTGTGTTTTAATCACATGTTTTGTTTTGTTTTGTTTTGTTTTTAATAGATGTTTTGGGGCCTCCCCATCCCTGGAAGTGTCCAAGGCCAGGCTGGGACAGTGGAAGTTATCCCTGCCCATGGCAGGGGGTGGGACTGGATGATTTTAAGGTCCCTTTCAACCCAAACCATTCTGTGATTTTACAATTTTTCCAAGCAACAAAGAAATTATTAACTGCAGGTGTAACAAATATTTGAAATTGTGATTATTGAGGAGTCTATAAATGAACTACAATTGGTGTAATATTGGAAAAGTTTGTGTAAATTTCTGCATAGATTTTTAAGAACCCAATGCAGATTCAATTTCCTCTCATCCATTTGAGATGCTGTTATTCCCATTTTGACATCAGTCTACATAATTCATTTAGATGTTAAACCTCCTCCCAAAAAAAAAGTATTTTTGGTTGTAAAACACATCCATGCTGTTATTCCCATTTTGACATCAGTCTACATAATTCATTTAGATGTATTTTTGGTTGTAAAACACATCCCTGGCCTTCAATTTCAGCTACAGCAAGGCACAAACAGCCACTGAGTGATGGGGAAGAGCTGCAGGTGACTGAGTGATCCCAAGAGTGGACCAACAATCCAGAAAAAAATCAGTGGATTGTAGCCAAAGCCCAACTGGCACAGGACTGGGCAACATCCAAAGGTCTCTTCCAGCCTCAAGGTTTCCATATTTCTGTGGCACAAAAGTCAGCACAAAGTGAGATTTCTCTCTGGATCAGGAGTTGTTAGAGTAGCTCCTCTGTTTGGTGGGACTGTACCTGAAAATCCCAACAGTCATTCCAATGTTTCTTTGCATTCCTGTCACCAAGCTCATTAAAGACCTACTTTGCTTCTCAAAGTATCTTTGTGACTCTCTTTGTCCCTCTGTCACACTTCTACCTTAGTGTTCTATTGAGGAATATTCATAGTGTAATATAAAAAAGGACGCAAAGTCAGACAAAAACCATTAGAGCATTCAAAAAGTGACATTTCCTTAATATGTCTTCCTACTTCTCACCTCACAATTACAAATGAGCCCCCAAAAAGGACCATGGTGACAGTTTGGACCCTGTGAGTGATGCAAATCTGCCTTCAGGACTGACAAAAGCATCTCCCAAGTGCAGCAGCAGCAGATTTTGGCTCCATGACATGACAAAGAATTATCTTGCTGATAACAGAACCTTTGCAACAGCCTTAAAACACTTCCCTGTCTGCTGATGGTTGTGCAAGATGAAGCAGGTAAAAGAAGTGAAAGTCCCATCAGCATTTATTCCATACTTCTAAAAGTTTAAATGCAGGAATTCCCCAAGTTTGGAAGTGTCCAAGGCCAGGCTGGACAGGGCTTGGAGCAACCTGGGACAGTGGGAGGTGTCCCTGCCCGTGGCAGGGGGTGTGATTAAGATCATTAATGAAGTGTGAAACTTCCTCTGCACAATTCATCTGCCATTCTCTTTGCCTTGCTAGAACTTTTCTTCCTTTTCCTCAACATTTTCCCTCCTAAGAACATTGCTTTAACCCAAAATGTTTTGAGCCTCTCTCCCTGCCTCTCCCTCCTATCCCACCCTCCCTTTCCACCTTTGGGTTGCTCAGCCATGTGCACACATTGCCTCTATTCCCTCTCAGGGATATGCTGGCAGCTGAGTGAGAACCTGCCAGAAAACACCAGCAGAGAATGAAAGTGTGAAGTGTCTCGGTGGCCACAAAGGGTGTTCTGCTTCCCACACAGAGTTCAGGAGCTGGTGGGGCCACACCACAGAACAAGCACGGTTCTTACTGAGCAGGACAGGGCAAGATTTAATTTTTTTTTTATTTTCAACCCCTGCAAAACCACCACAGGTGAAGGCAAGCACTTCCTGTTGCTTTTTTCAG